GCCGCTACAGAGGTCGCTTACTTCAGAAGTAAAAGTAAACTGTAAACTTCGGCCACTACAGAGGTCGCTTACTTCAGAAGTAAAAGTAAACTGTAAACTTCGGCCACTACAGAGGTCGCTTACTTCAGAAGTAAGATAAGGCTACGACCGCTACAGAGGTCGCTTATTTCCGAAGTAAGATAATAAGGCTACAACGGTCGCTACTTTAGAAGTAAGAGAATGCATGTGTGCAGAGGTCGCGTACTTCAGAAGCTAGATTAGGCTACGATCGCTGCAGAGGACGCTTATTTTAGAAGTAAAAGTAGGTCACATCACACTTATTTCAGACAAAATTCCCGGACACCATAGAGGAGATTTAATTTCGAAGTAAGAAAATTGTGCGTACAATTTAGAAGAAACAAATACCATGGCAAAAGCGACTCAAACAGGTTGAACAAACTATGAATCAGTAACCATACCAGACTATGATGTTCGTCCACTGGTCGCACGTGTGGTTTCAACTGCCTGCGGAAGAATTCGCTCAAGTTCCGATAATTGTTCAGATTTTCATCGGCAGCTTCGTCCAGGTCCACACCCCACAACCACACGTAGAACCCCAATAACGGTCGCCGGAGCACGGGGTGAAGGTTAAGCTGACTGACCTTGCCCCATGCCCTCGACATGAAGGTCAGAGGTAACTTCCGGTACAATTTTACCTGGAAGAGAAACCGATCAAAACGACACATTATCAGGTCATATAAATATACAGTAGAGGTAGGATGGTTTTATTTGTACTATAGGACGGCAATATGTTACATAATTATGCAATATTTAAAAAAAAATACACAACAGAAAAGATAATTATAATCTCAATATTTAAATTATATATTTATCGGCAGATCTCGTACATATACATTGAATTGGTATATTGCTCGTTTAAAATTGCGACTTCCATTTGCTCGTTGTATATTATTATTCTTTATCATGGGTTTCATGTCCTCGGTATAGTATCAGAGTAGAGCTTGGACTTTAAACAAAGAAGGGTGATACGTCCGAGGTTTTGCTTGTATTAACCTAAGGGTGAGAAATGAAAAAAATACATAAGGATAAAACGGACACAACTTTGACTGTCATTTCACTGGGATGTCATAACCTGGACACAGTAACATGACATTTGACCAGACTTTACAACAACACTCACTTCAAGCTGAACGTCAACATGAAAACACCAAGAACCAGCTTTAGGGAATTTGCTGTTCTACGTCTGGGGATAGAACACATACCTTCCTCGTCTCAACAGCACGGTGAGAGGACCAAACAACACAGTGTAAGGACCAGATAGCACGGTGAGAGGACCAAACAACACAGTGTAAGGACCAGATGACACGGTGAGAGGACCAAACAACACAGTGTAAGGACCAAACAGCACGGTGAGAGGACCAAACAACACAGTGCAAGGACCAAACAACACCATGAGAGGACCAAACAACACAGTGTAAGGACCAAACAGCACGGTGAGAGGACCAAACAACACAGTGTCGGGACCAAACAAGGCAATTTAGGGGACGAACAAAGCAATGTAAGGAACAACGGCTATGATATTAGTAATACACTACGAAGTGACAACAACAGAGAATACGCCATGTTCCATGGAATACCTTAAAATCACTGGGGCCTGTTCGTTTATGCGGAACAACCGGTTTGACCGATTATAAATGTAACAATTTCGGGTATAAATCCTGGCGGACCTGCAAATGTTTATGCAGGCCTTGCAAGGCTCTGTCAAGGCTCGCCTGAAAGCAGCATCAGATTGCTAGGTCCGACCTTATTTAATAAACGAACAACAGTGGTCCGACCGGTTTGACAGTTTAAACGAAAACGGCCAAGGTGGCAAGACAAAAGTACCGTCCAATGTTACAAGGCAAGCATGAAATCACCCAATAGTACACATAAAACACGTGACGTATAACCACCAAATTTAAAGACAAAATATAATAATTTATAGACAAATTAAACTAAATGTAAAGACAAAATAATCAATGCCAAACGTATAAAATAAAAAGATAAAATCGTCTAATAAAAAAATTAAATACAAAATCATACAATATACAGAAAAAAAATCATCAATGTAAACACAAAATCGTCAACGTAAAAGACAAGTCCACACTACAAGAACAAAATCGTCCAAAATAGACATATCCAATTCACATGGAAGGAAACACTCGGACAAAAAACACTCGTTATTTCAAGACAGATTTCAAAGTAAAGACAAAATAATAATGCAAGGCAAATGAATATACATCTATCACATGTGAGGACAGAAATATATCAGTATTGATTTCATTTCACACACGGGGAAAAATGGAAATTGAGGGGAATCCCCGGTTTCCGTTTAAACTGTTAAGTACACGTACCCTTCTATCATATTTTTTCCTGTAACTTCCGTGTCGCTTACGTCCATACCCATATTTCCCTGGCTTCCTCCCTGTTACGTGATTGTTCCTGTTACCCATCAGACGTTTCCACAATTCACGTTTTGACAAGTAGATGACGCGGTGTGTGAGGCTGTGAACGGTATCGCCCCCGTGGTGTCCTCTTATAATGAGCGCCATCGCCATTGTACTGTAAAACAGGGCCTGGTTGAGATGGTTCGATGGAGCGATAAACTGAGGCGAGGCAAGGAAAATTTCCCAAACTAAAACTATCATCGTGTCTTTGTCACTGCACTGTTTACAAGTATAAAAATCTGCGCACACGAGTTATCTGCGAGTTGCAAGACCTGTAGCTTGCTGGTATATTAAACTGAAAACAACGGGCATAAGGGAGTCAGCTGATATGGTTCAAGTCCAAGGTATATATAATTTATATTTATCAACACAACGTGGTACGAGGCAAGACGCGTTTGTTTGGATATAAAACACGTGTAGTTTTGTGACAACATTTTGTGTATTTTTATATTTCTACCAACTACATTTATCAGATGAATCATTCTTATCCTGTTCCATTTGGTGTTGCCAGGTTTTAAACTAGAAAATCTTGCAAAGCAAGTGTTTTTAAAAAAAAAATCCACGACTTCTGACTAAGTAAAAAAAAAATGGGATCAATCGATTTATTTGAGAAACGTTATACTTATATTTAAGCTGTCCTCGTGTGCTGGCGGGTTTTTTCTTCAGTGACACCATGTTCGGCTAAGTCGCATGGATTTGTTACATCTTAGATACTCCGAGGTATAAGAGATAATTTTCCTTCAAATCCAAATGCTTTACCAAGTCTCAGGGATTTGCAACGTTTTAAACAACATCTGTATTTCCTCACGTCATTAAAATATATTTTATGTCACAGGGGTTTGTAATGTTCTACATATTAACATGTTATTACAGACACGTACTTCGTATATATGCAAGGTAATCGATACATAATAAATTACGAACTCTGATACGTAAAACTGTGTTGATACATTAATTGTGACAGTGCGTTACAGGCCCCTGTGGGTGATACTTGGTATAAAGTTCGTTATCAGATAGGGTTGGTACGCGAGCAGGTTGTACTCTGACCCTGCGCCCACTGTACAACATACCAGCCATCGTGTGTCAACCATCGTTTGATATACACAAATACTGTGTACGTGGAAGTAAACTTTAAGAATTCATTAATGTTCTTGATAAGATGATACTATATCGTTTCCTTATACTAGAAATAACTTGTAAGTGATTCTTATCACTGCGGATAAGTAAAAGGGTATATTACGACAAGCCAACTTAATGTTTATTCAAAAAGCAAGAGCGATCTCTCCAGCACAAATACACACGTACATTACACACGTGGAGGCACGTCCTTAAATGACCTTAGCTGTTGATAGGACCTTAACCCCTATACAACCATAACCTGTATTTCATAAAAATTAGATAATGTATACAACATTTATCTTATGTACTCTAATAATTGTGTGAAATACAGGATCGGCATTGCTCACGGAATAAATGTTAAGTTAGCTTGCCAAAGTATAGTTTATATTATTACAACTATTAATTGAAACGGGTAAATATCCGGAATAAAGAATATCCGGATATCTGGACATTTCGGTATCCACGTGAACGAGGAGTATTTTGTTGAAATGTATTTTCGTACGTAGGTTATGTATTCTTTAAGGAGGGGGGGGGGGGAAATATCCGGAATAAAGAATTTCCGGATATCTCAGTGGACATTTCGGTATCCACGTGAGCGAGGAGCATTGTGTTGGGATGTATTTTCGTACGCAAGTAATGTATTCTTATGGGTAAAACTGCATCAATTATAATCGCGAAAATGTTTTTTCGACATTGAATAATAATTGAAATAAAGAAATACAAAGGATGTTATCTGACTCCGAGTTACTTCCCTTTTCAAGGTATTCATTGAATGTGTTTTCAAATACTAATACTTAAATTAATTTGCCCCGTGTTGGTTTAGGGTGTTTGGGTGGCGAAGTGGATAGCGCACTTGCAATTCACCAAGTCGACCGGCGTTCGATTCCCCGATCGGACGTGAAAAGGTATGGGGTCACCTGCACGACCACATGGGTTTTCTCCGGGTAATTGATCAGAAGTAAACAATACTTTAATCGTTTGTATCAAATGTGTCCTCGCTACTGACTTTTAGATCTACGGTCACGTCAATTTCGTTTCCTGCTTGCACTGTATCTAGATGTCAGGGCCCATGCGTTGAAATCCACGCCATATACAGTGTATACTTGAGCCAAAATCACCTGTAGACCACATGTAACGGAAAAGGTTGAAGTGTTCTTATACTTTGAAACAGGGACTTTGGACCGGTCGGATGTTGCATGATCGAACGAGTCGCGTGATTTTGACAGAGAAGGGCACATATAGAAATCAACACGTGGTCAACGTTATATTAAAGTACTAATGAATATGTATGCTTATTAACAAGAAATAAACATCGATGACATATATATTAATTAAAAGTATTTAGATGCTAGATCTACAGTCCAGCAAACAGCCAACCAAGCTTTAATCACACACGATGGCCTGTGTCGTTGCAGGCTACACCTTGAAGACTCCCGTGCCGTAGTAGGGAGAGGGCTGATAGAGGCTTCAAGCCTTTTGACAGTGTAGTATTCTTTTGTCAATAAAATTTGTTGAACTATATTACCGTGACACTGCCGAAAAATGTAAATATACTTTCTCAACTATTTTCCTGCTATAGCTCTGATACAAAATAAACGAAAGAATCTAAATCGTGCATTGCCATAATATTACAAAATAATCAAGATCAGAGTTCTGGGTGTAAAAATACGACGGCAGAACTCGAACCCTGACCCGATAATGAACTTTCCCTCTAAGCAACTGTGTAACATACGTCAATGGTTGAGTTACCAGGCCAAAATGGTTGTGTTACCAAGTCAATGTTTGTGTTACCATGTCAATGGTTGTGTTACCATGTCAATGGTTGTGTTACCAAGGCAATGGTGGTACTAAGGTCGAATCATACAAGAGTGATATCTTAAACAAAATCAAGGGGAGGTTACTGTATGTACGAACAGTAAAGTGGAACTCTCTATCGTTTTGCCTAAACTGGAGCAGGCATCCTTAAGGATTCCGAACCACTGTCCACTGCCAAAAGCTTAAAGTATGCATCTAAAACGTCCCTTCCGGTATGGCCGTAGAAAGTTTTTTTATGAAAAGAAAGCGATACATTGCCGAATTTCAACCTATATTTATATATCAAAGGTACAAGCGTTTGTAATTTAGCACATGTCCTAGTTTCAGCAGGTTAATTTGTAAAGGTGTTTTGCCAGACTATAAAATCGCAATTCTCCTCTTTCAAACAATTTAGATAGCCTTACACAGCATTAAACGTTACTCCGAGAAGGATGGAGCTACGTACGGGAAGCTACGTGTACCAGACATGATGGACAATGTGTTCTGTACGGAGGGCCACTTTGACCTCTTTTCAACGTGGAGGTCTGATCTTTTTTAAACTTACGTCGTCTTAATATAGTTATAAGTTAAAAAAAATAGTGAGTTACATGCAAAATCTGAACTAAACCCCTAGTGTGGGCAGACCCCTATCGAAAATAAACTTCGGCTGAAACCCAACCTTTCACCTGTCCGATTTTATCAACAGTAACACGTTCTGATAATTTCATAACATTTTAAATCCTGAAAAAATAATGGCTGGAAGTTGTGTATTGTATATACCACGAAGTATTGTGATTTGGTGTTGATTTTAATTCATCCTAAATGATGTGTTGCAAAGAAATTATCTCACGTTCGTCTGTGCTGACATAGAGTGCACCACAACCCCGGCGTGATTGTGATCAGGGTAGATACTGGAAAATAAGAGAAGAGACGGGACATTATCTAACAAAGTACTGTTATAAGTTTCATTAATACATAGATAGGGGACAAGTATGTCATTTGCGTGTCTCAAACCTTTCATTAAGTTTTGAGATTTTTACTTCTTTAAACGTTATTTGTAATTACTATAAGAATGGCGTTTAAACTAAAAAAAACATATACAAGTAACCATCATTCGCCCTGAAATGACCGTCGCTGTTGTTGGACACAACCAACCTCGCGATACCAATATAGACTCGTCACTACAAATTGGAAAAGGGATGGGTTTAAACTTTGATAATGTGCGGACGCTATCAAAAGATGACATGAACTTGATCAGGGCTCAATGAGTTGCTAACCTGTTACTGTTATTGACTGATACCTTGAAAGGACCGTATACTGAAGCATTGTCTGTTTTATAAGTATGATAATAATAATAATAATTCGAGGTTCTTATATACCGCTTCATCACACCCTAATTCGTATGTCGTCTCAAAGCGGTTCACAAACGCGCACAACCAAACAACAACGACTCGGCTTTGCAAACTAGAAAAGGGATGGACGTAGAGTGTGATATAAGTATGCGGACGCTATCGACTGATGACATGAACTTGATCAGGGGTAAATAAGTTGCTGCCCTGTTGCTGTTATTGACCGATACCCTGAAAGGACCGTACTAAAGCATTGTCAGCTTACATTGTTAAATGTTCTTTAAATATTATGTTTTCCTTTAATCCGTAAAATTGATATTCATTGTTATTTGTCATACTGCAAAGAAAAATGTTGCACGCTGATTGGTCGAATTGCCAAGGTACCTGAAGCTATGGAATCTAGGTCAAAACGGCCTCACTGTAAAAACGGCCCTAGTTGAAACGGCCCTACTTATTAAATCTTGTTATACAATTTGATTGGATTTTAAATGAAGTTAGCAACCTGTAACAGATAAAGTTAAGACATAAGTACGTGTATGACAAGTACGTGTAGTTATCATTTATATAAATTTAAATAAATTGCTCAGTATAACGGGACGTATATATATATGAACTTTGATGTATATTTCAATATTTCAATACAGCCAATTTATTCAAATATACATCAATGTTCATATATATATACGTCGCATTATACTTTGCTTTTTGATATGTATTCGATCGCAACATGTGGTTTTAAGTGAACCCATATCTCTGAAATTGTAGTATATTTATGTATATATATATGAACATTGATGTATATTTGATTAAATTGGCTGTATTGAAATATCTAAATATACATCAATTGGTATGGTATTTATGATCTATCGCGCATGATGTTGTTTGCTTGCAAAGCTGTGATGTGTCATTCAAATAGATCATGAATACCATACAAAAACAGTTTAATGCTTAAATGAACATTGATGTATATTAAGATAAATTGTTAAGTACAAGTGTGACGTATATATATAAACATTGATGTATATTTAGATAAGTTACTAAATATGACGGGACGTATATATATATATGAACATTGATGTACATTTGAATAAATTGGCTGTATTGAACTAAGAAGTCCAAAATAAAACACAAACATTCTGATTTTTAAAAAAAAAAAAATTGTCTTTTCATCATTATGTTTCTTCTTTATTTCGTTCCTTGCTATATATCATTGTTTCGTCTTTTCGTTATACAATGTATCGCTTTTTCGTCTTTTCGTTATTTAGCTTTGGCGTTATTTCGTTATTTCGCTTTGGCGGGTGTTCGTCTTTTTGTTTTTTCGTTTTTTCGCTTGGCGTTATTTCACGGGCGACAATGTGAAAAGACGAAATGTCATATATAAGCCACCATAGATAACACTGCCGCACACTAACATGTCGTCGATGCTGGTCTCGTGGTTGAAAGTCTCATTCAAATTCAAATGATATGTGCAGAGTTTGCTATACATCCGTCCAATTTATTACACCCTCTGACCAATCCTGTTAATTGCAGTTTTAATTGAGTCACTCCGAGGTACTCTCATCCCATATCTAAATTATTATTAGTTATTATCATAACTTTTTTTTAAATGGTTTTTAATAAGTTTTAAAATTATTATTTTTCTCTAAATAATTAAATTAAATTAATTACTGAGGTAGAAAACACTGCCATTGC